ATGATGATGATGATGATGATTGACAATGTGTATGTACAATGATGATGATGATGATGATTGTCAATGTGTATGTACGATGATGATGATGAGGATGATGACGTGTATAAATGACTATGATTGAGAAACGCATGCTTCTGTCTACAAGTGAGAGTTTGTGTGTAATGTCTGTTTGATGTAGATGTAACAAAAAACTTGAAAAAAAAAAACAATATAAAAAAACAAACAAAAAAACAAAAAAAAAAACAACAAAAAACATTTAAAATTTGGAAACTTGTTGCTGTATGTCCACCTATCAAAACTATTTAATGCCGTAATTAAAAAAAGTGTCAATATCTACCAAAAGAGTGGAAAATGGGAACAATAATTACTTTGCACAAAGGAAACGCAAAACCTAAAGATGACCCTAATAGTTATAGGGGAATTACTCTGTTACAAATCATTTTTAAAGTTTTTGAAATGATGTTAGCTCAAAGATTATATTCAGTTCTTAATTGTAACAACTTTCCGAAAAGGCAACAATAAGCATATCAAAAAGGACTATGCAGTTTGTTAACTGCATTTAATCTGCAAGAAAGTATACATTATAATTTAGAAAGAGAAGAAGATGTTTATGTAGCCTTTTAAGATAGTAACAAGGCATTTGATACCGTATGGCATGATGGTTTGTTGTATAAGCTAAATGAGATCGGTATCACTTCAAAGACATGGCATATTTTGAAATCAATATACACAGATATAAGAAGTAGTGTTATATTTAATGGTTTAAGTTCAAGATGGATCCGTATGGAGAGGGGGATTTTACAGGGGAGTGCGTTGTCTGCCAAAATGTATCTTGTATTCATAAGCAGTTTATTAGACAGTATTGAAAAATGTGGGAAGGCTGCACTTATCGCCGATTTAAGAATTAATATACCAACACAAGCAGACGACATATGTCTGGTTAGTACACAACGTAAAAGCTTACAATACATGCTTGAGATGTGCAAAGCGTACAGCAGAAAGTGGCGTTTCACATTTTCTGCAGCTAAAAGTAAAATAGTGTATTTCCCTAGAAAAAAGAAGTGGCTAAGAAATCTTAGTACGAAATTATATCTATACGGGCATCTTCTTCCAGAAGTTGAGGATATAACACATGTTGGTGTGATGCTGAACTATCCTTTTAATAGTATGGAACGTACAGTACGCGCAGGTAATAAGCTTAATAGTGGTGTCATGAGTTTAATTAAAAGTGGTGCTCATCCATGTGCATTAAATCCTTTAACGATTAGTAAAATACTTAAATCAAAATTATATGCTTCAGCCCTATATGGGTGTGAATTATGGTGTCTTCCAAAAACCGAAATTTTAATGTTAGAAAGAGCACAACGTTTTATTTTAAAGTCAATTCAAGGGTTCCATACAAGAACCCGTACAGATATGTGCACAGGCCTTCTAGGGTGGTTAAGTTTAGAAACATACATAGATACCAAGAAATAATTATTGTTTGGAAGATTATGTAACTTGGAGAAAAATTGTATATCATATCATTTTTTGTTTTTTACTCGTCTTTTTATAGCAGTTATAGGGACCAATGTGTATAATAATGGATTTATGAATGAAGTAATTAGAGTTCTAAAGAAATATGATTTATACAAATTAGTAAGAGAATGTTTATCAAATGGATTATTTCCAGTGAAAAGTACATGGAAAGCGAAAGTAAAGCATAATGTACAGTTATATGAAGAAAAAGCATGGAAGGAGAGAATGAGTGGTGACCGCGATTTCTGCAGATTTATATTTGCTCATGATAATTTCGCTCCTCATGTATTGTGGAAATTGTTCATAAAATTTCCTCAAAGCAGAGAAGCCATACATAGTATAATGAAATTGATTGTATCTCTAAGACATTCAGAAAAAAACTGAATTATGTCATAAATGTGGACAAATGCATAACGATATATATACCCACATAATTTTACAAAGTGATTGTGCATAAGACTTACGAGATCAGTTATGGTGTCAAGTCGTTAATACATGTGAACTCATGTTTAGCGTATATTTACACTCTCATTCAGACTTTGAATTATTTCACCTACTGATTGGTGGCAATATAACGTATGGACTGAATACATTAGAATTAACAGAATTTCGTATGGCATCAGTCAATCATATACCAAAAATGCTTAATGCATACTTCGAATGAATATTTAATACTTTTGTGTATATCAATCTTAACATTATTAATTATGTATTCTTTTGTAATCTGTACACAAATTGATTAAGCTATTTCAATTGTGTTAACTAATTATGTTGTGCACTAATTTTGCCTTACCATCTATTTGATTTTGCATTTATTATCTTATTTATCATTGTAACTACATTATTCTGTTTGTAAAATCTTCTTAAAGGAGGAAAGAAAGAGAATAATAAAAATAATATCAGGGACACTACAGACTTGAGCCGTTTTTCTCGATCTTTAAATTGTTCGATCGTGAGGTTTCCCTTTCTTTATAGTAACATTCATTCTTCAATTAAATCTCCTGTTTTTAGATTTTAGATTTAGGTTAAGGAATTTAAAATTACGCTAGATATAAGTTCGATCAATCATGTAAGCGTATTTAGCGATATTCAATGCTGTAAATTTCCTAAGTACATGTAAACGCATTCAGGTTTGAGTAAAAGATTTGAGATCAATTAATAAAAACAATCAGGCGATCATAGAAGAATGTTTTGT